GATAGCCTTCAGATGCGCCCCATCCAAGCCAGGGTTCAGCACTCAGCATCTCAGGGAAAAGATGCAACATCTCTGCAAAACAGGCTGAAGTGCCTCCCCTTTTCAGGCAGCCCTGCACAGCACCAGCCAGGCTTTGGGATGGACACTAACAGCACAGGGCAGCTCCCCCGTCGCACCATCACTTGCTCTGCCCCAAGGATAGCAGCATGCCCTGCACACACTGAAAAAAAATGCCCAGGCCTCTGGCAGATCCTGCCTGCTCACGCTTTGCTGGGGCCAAAAAGCCCTTTCAGGTCGGGATAACTGTCATCTGCCTTCCCCTGGCCCTCAGCCCGTGCTGCCAGAGGTCCCCAAACGCAGGCTTAAATCTGATTAGATTTGAAGATATGCTTAAACTAAACATGTGCCTGTAGGGATCATGCAAGAGAGGATCCCATCCAAATCAACAGCCACGAGCAGTGACCTGTGGGTGGGTTTGGGGCACCCAGGCCCGTGGTGCCACGATGTGAGGCGGGGGGCTGTTTGCCTGCGAGCTCCCCGTCTGCTGCACCCCGCTTACATTTACTGCTCCCTGGTCCCTCTAGCCCTTTCAGCTCCACCCTGAAAATAATCTGCTGCACAATTAAAATCCCCATAGAAACAAGCTCTCAGGTTGGTATGTTCTCACAGGGATTGTTTTGCAAAGGGTCAAACAGCTTGTTAGGTAGAGACATACAACAGTGGTGATTTGGATAATTACCAGCAATGACCTCTCCCACTTTTGAAGTGAAACCACCAGTGATTCTCACTGTTTCTCTGTGACAATATAGATTACCTCCAGGTTTTCGTCCTTGTTAACATATGGAGATTTTTTCCAACTGGACGAGCTTTGCAACTCCACAACCAAACTGGTCTGTGATGTTTTCTTTGTAACTATTGACCCGCCAAAGTACCAATAATGACTTTCCTGCTGCAGGAAAGTACTTTGGAAATTATAAATGGCATTTTGCGAGGCTGTGGTTTACTTTATATTGATCTACAGTCTCTTCTCCTCACTGCAGCAGTTAACATGTCCTAAAAATGCTGAATTGCTCTTGATGAGAACATGGATATGCTGTTGCAGACTAATTTCACCATCCTTCAGTTTTATTGCTAACAGATTTATGCAGTTGGCTTTTTTTAATTCTTTTTTTTTCCCCCAGGCTGGAGGTTGCCTGAGAACCTGAAAATGTCACTATCATCGATATAGCAGCAGAGAATCAGCAAATCCTGGTGTGTAAACCCAAAGAAGAAGGAAGTATCAGCAATACTACAGGCATCTCTTCATGGAACTGGAAGTTTCAGCACCGGTTCTGCCGTGCAGGTCAGATCAGTGGTTTTGTGCCACTTCATCTCCAGATCTCAGCCCTGCCTTTTGCTCCAGAGAAGCCCTGAGCCATTCTCAGCCAGGGCACAGAGATGTGGTGGTACAGCCTGTCCACCACCGCTGTAAGCATGGCCCATACAACAAGCATGCAGGATCTGAGGAGAGCTGTGTCCAAGCCTGATGTCTCCCTCCTCGCCCTGGTGGGTGTTGCAGCCAGGAGTATGCCCAGGGCTTGGGCTAGCCAGCCCCCAGCTGTTCACAGAATCACAACATCATTTAGGTCGGAAAAGAGTTTTAAGATCAACAGGTCCAACCCTAAACCTAACACTACCCAGTCCACCACTAAACCATGTCCTGAAGTACCACATTCACACATCTTTTAAACATCTCATGGTGACTCAACCACTTCCCTGGGCAGCCTGTTATAATGCTTGATAGCCCTTTCGGTGAAGAAATTTTTCCTAATAGCCAACCTACTCTGGTGCAACTCGAGGCCATTTCCTCTTGTCCAGTCAGTTGTTACTTGTGAAGAGGCCAACACACACCTTGCTACTACCTCCTTCACTGAGATGCATTAACTTCACAGGAATGCATCATTTTTATTTTTCAAACACAAGCATCCAAGTGATCTCCACATTGAAATGAAATTAAAAACAGATAGATGAACTGAATATACCAGGCATCTTTTTTTTTTTTTTTTTTTCTCACAGTGGGAGGTGCATGAGTAGCAGTGCGTTAGAAACAGGCCAGCAAATCAGATATGCTGATGCTCAGCAGTAGCTCTGCAACCGTGCTGTTCCCCAGCACAACCTCTGCCCATGCTGTCTGTCACAGCCACTGCCAGAGCAAGCAGTGACCCCCTGCAGCCAACCACCTGAGTACAGCGCACACCAGTTCTGCTCTTCTGGTCTTGGTTCCCCTGCTGCCATGGCTCAGCTGACACATGGACACATGCTTCTACCTTCTTGCCTTCACCAAAGAATGAGCCCAGGCAAGCAGGAAGACTGCTTTTTTTTTTTGAGCAGTCTTCCTTGGGCAAAGGGAGCTACTCCTTTAGGATTAGAAGGGTGCCAGGAGGAGGCAAGCACAGCTGATGGATTTTACTGGAGCAAATACAAGGTGTAACTAGACAGCAATGACTAGCAAGCCAGAATGCCTGATTATAAAGTTCATTTTTTTCAGGGATATTTATTGGACAAGACACCTTTGCTTGCTATAGCTTCATAGAACTTTCTTTATTCTTGGACAGATCTGAGAGAAAGCATTAGTTGCTCATACAGCCAGATTTTCTACTAAAGGGGTGGGGCAAGCACTGTTTTGCAGGATATGGGCATCAGATCCAACTTATGGTCTTTATTCATTCGCTGCCTAACCAGCAAGACTGAATTTGTCCTAGAATTAATGTATACTTTCCGTAGGTGCTACAAATGTGCTTCTTCTATGCCTTGCCCTTCTTTTTTTGGGTAACATACAAGTTTCTTTTTCATGTTGTTTTTGCTCAGATTATGCAAGATGATTCTCCTCCTAGCTGCAGTTTTTGTGCTTCTTGTATCATGTTTTCCCTATGTTCTTCATGTTTTTGTTCTGCGCTTGTCCTGAAACACCTGGCTTAATGCAGGTGGTGACTACATGCAGGGGAGCCAGAAAGGAGGGGGAGTTGCCTACACAGTTTAAAGCCCATGTTAATAAAACAAAAGCCATTCTTCAAAGGATAACTCAGGGCTCGCCACTGATGGGTGAATGATTTACACGCTACCTGACAATCTTCTGCTCTTTCTTGACTTCTTTACTCACAGCCTTGTGGCCCTCGTGATCCTTTTGGATCTCCCCCGAAACAGCGTTTTCACCCAGCTCACCCCACAGCGTGGCGGGTCAGGTGCTTTCCTGGGACAAGGAGATGCGCTTTGAATCTTCCTAGACAGAGCTATGAACCGAACCTTCACGAACACTCTCCTTGCTGAGTTAATACAGGCAAAGAAGCGTCATCACCACTTTTTAAAGAAGGTGGGGCCGTGCCACTTCTGTGTTGAAAACTACACAAACCTACATACTTGCTAAGACCCCTCAGCAGTCAAGTAGGTGGACTCCAGCTTGTGAATCCCACATGGGCACAGGCTTGTGACAAAGGTGATGATTTGCACTGCACCACGGGCAGCACTTCTCACCCTGTGCAACAGCAGCACTGGCAATGTCAGAAAGCAGCAGTCGCAGTCTAAGCACATGTTGCAGCTTTATACAAATTTTTCTCTGGATTGCATGTTTAGGGGACAGTTTTAAGAGCATGGAAATAGAAACTCTAGTTTCAGACTCTACTGCTCCCACAAATAAGTAATATTCTACTTGCTTTTGCAAGCCATTACAATAATAATATACAATAAACAAAATCTACATACCATGGGACAGATGGAGAATGCACTGGCCTTGAAGGCAAGAATTTCTTCAATGCTATCACTTCTTCTTAGTATGTACACAAATATGTGAATCAGGCACACTAAATTTTTGCAACACAAACACAATAGCTACTTTCACCTTTGCCAAAGCCTCAAAGACCTGATGGTTTGTAAATACATTCAGGAAAGGAATTTCTTCAAACACCCACCCCTGCCTACCAAGGTGTCCCCTGAAGTTGTTCCATTAAAAACTGCCACACATACTGCGGTGTATGTGCAGCCAGAACCAAGACCATGGTTTATAGCAGCAGATGGATACGGGCAGAAGAGGGGCTCATAACACTGCAGTGTATCAAATAAACAATGGGATAGTGTAACTTAGGCATCAACATAAGATATACAAGATACCACAAAACTGCTCACATATGCCTGTAACCAACTTTCTCCTCTCGTCAGAGGAAAACTTCACCTTCTACATTTGTGTGAGTGGATTTTAGAGCTGCAAGAATGGTGTATTGTCTCAGTGGCTTTGGCACTTACCTTGTACCTCCCTTCACAGGGGTGACAGACTTGGATTTTGACCACGCATATAAATTACTGAAGAGTTTAATTCCAGAGTGAATCATCAAGGTCTTTTTTCAGAGGCTAAACATTCCTCTTCACATTTATCAACCTGCTTCACAATGATATTGAAGATAAAATGATACCATGACATATTTACTCATGACCTTGTGACACGTATGGAAGGATGACCCTGCCATCCACATAGAAGCATTTTCATCACTTTTCAATCATCTACTTTATCATTCACCAGGTAGTTAATGGAATTTGTCTTCATGTGTCATCTAGTACTATTTTCAAACTGTAGCCACACACTAACACCAATGATTAATATCTCAAATGCTATCACTTCTACAGCAGTTTTAATCAAAAGGTAAAAAATCACTTATCTAAGGACTATGTATGTAGTCTATTATTTGACTTGACTGAAAACCAAGTAATTATGAAAATTAATGTGATAGTTATGTTTGAGATTGACCCAACAGAGAGCAGTGAGAAGAGAGAACATGGAGAATCCAGCTGTTCGCTGAGTTTCAAGCTTCATTATTTCTGTTTATCAAATCCTTCCACCTTCAGCCAAGGCCTTGAGTTCTATGTGTGTGCTGAGGTGTGACATGCTGGTGTGAACATGAGCTAATCTTTTACTGCTCCTAATGGCAGAACAGGACACTATGGAAAAAGGTAATAATAGACGAAACCTGAGATTTTTAGTCTTAACTTTATTGATTGTTTTGCAAATACACAGAAGGACCTTGATATTTAGTTTGCGGAGCTTAAAGTACAACTACAGTTTCTGTAAGATTTCATTTTTTTGCTTTTTCAGGGACAAAAGTCAATTAAATATAAAGTGAAATAAGTCCAATATGATAATACAGTAGAATCATCATCTTCTTCAGGACAAAGCGCATCAACTGTCCTTGTCTTGCAAAGTGCTGTCAAGCAGGAGCTGATCTCAGTGACGTCCCAATAAAACTTCATTCATACCACCAACCACCGAAGAGGAACGAGAAGCTCTCATCCCTGTAACACTGATCACTGCAACTAGTGCTCAGAGTATACCTTACCTGTGAACCACGCTTGTGTCCACAAAGAGGGAGTGCTTTAATTTCTAATCCTACTTTACATATCAATTAAAAAAGCAGAGTCACAGCTTGTTGCAATTAGCTTGTGCGGACTTGTGATGTTTTCATAACAATACCAATATTCTACCACAATATACTGTCCTCAAGATAAAAATATTCAAGTGTGACATACAGATCTTTGCACCACTGTTGTATACAGAGAGAGCCTGTTCTCCTTTCTTCCCCAGTTTTCAGCACCATATTAACTTTTGCTCTCTTGCATTAACACTGATACAAATAAGAGAAGACACAGAACTCAAATATCCAGCATGTATGACAGTCTTCAAGTAATCTTCCACACTCTTGATGAAGTGTGATCCCCAATCTGAAGACAAAAAAATAACCTGTTGCACAGACTTTAGCTGGTTATTCCTCACAACATCCCTGTGAGGTAGGAAGAAAAACATCTCCTTTTCCTGCAACAGGAGACAAGGCAGAGAGCACAAATGACATAACTCAAAACAGTAAATGGAAAATTGGAAAAGCTGAAACTCAGGAGCGCTTGGCTTCTAATTCTTTGCTTCTGAAACCAAGGTGCTGCTCCCAGACGTTATCAGGTCATTAGTCTTTTTATAGCCTTACGCTAATGACAACAATGGCTTCTGTGCGTATGCCAGCAAAGCATAGTTCTATGGCAGAAACAGCATACACCTGATGCTGCCCTCAGACACTCCTCCTGTACTTTATATATGTCAACAAATGTTCGCTGTAATTAACTAATCAGACCTACGACTAATGTAGCATAGGTAATTGCAACAGATAAACGTTTCATTTATAGATTTGTTTAAGACTTCCCCAGCTATTTAAATATATTTATTTTTTTTCTCTGTAAGTTAATAGTAACTCCCCTCCCCTGTTTTAGTTTTTATACTCCTCCCCGAAAAACAGCATCCATTCTGGCTACTCTTTACGAGAGCTCTGAGTGATGATGAACAAGATACCTTCAGAGATCACACCCATCCCCTCAGAGTAGCTGTTCACCCATCGTTGGCCCTGAAGGCAAAGATAGGCACCTTTTGCTGTGTACAGCACCATAAGGGTCAGAATTGTCACTGAAGTGTCTTTATGGGGTAGGGAAGAGGTCTCTGGGCTGCTCTATCCAAAATCAAAACTTTCATTTTGTGCTAAAAGAGAGTCAACTTTCGTTATATAGAGACTTTTAATCAGCAAAACCTCTGTGAGCAGAACTTCAGTCCACCCCCACAGCAACAGAAATGGCCAAACTTTACGAAAGTAACTTGTCTGGAATGAGTGAGTAACTTAGGGAATACACCTAAATGGAGAAAACAGGCAAAAACTAAAGCTAGGTAAAAACTAACTTGTGCTAATCTTGGGTTAAAATATCACTTTCATCAATGTAGTTTCAAGTCTTGGATGCATATTACCTATCAACCAAATTGCCTGTATATGTTTAATCATGAAATTAGCACTAGCCTTTGTGCAACATCTGTCCTTCCCCCAGACTCAAGATCAGACCTTGCCTACACATTCAGGCTACACAACGGCCTACCACCAATTATCACACACAAAGTCAAGTCATTCAATTTAGTATTATGCGAGTACTTTTCTACTAGCATAAAGGGATTTTCTTTTTTCCTTTGTGGGAAGAAGGTATTGACAAGACATTATCAAAGAATTGTTTAGAGTAAATGCAACTAAACAAAATAATCTCTAATCAAACAGTTTTACCACTATAAAACCCCTGTGTGGATCAAGACAAATTTTATAACTGACCCATGAAAGAGAAGCATTTCTTATTTTAGAAAGGAGAAATGCAGTATAAAGGCTAGTTCAGGAGCTAAATATTGCGGGAATTTCCTATATGGTTCCCTAGAAATGCATTACATTCCTTCCACAACACACACTGACTATAGTGAATACCTCATCCATCCAGTATTAGAATGCCCTTCTATACCATATCCCAACACTGCTTACTACATATATGATAGGCATATATATATATGTATATATATATACACACACATATATATATGTTTGTTTATGCATCTACATTTTACATGTTTTTTAGCCACATAATCTGCTCCAGTCCCGATGTCAGGAATTATTTTAACCGAAGTGTTTTACATGTTCCTATTTCTATGAATGACAGAAACCATTATACTTGGAGAGAACACTGTATTTTAGCAGATGCGGATTTCCAGTCAATTCATGCTCTGTATAGTAAAGGCATATGGTGCTGATTTGGGATGTCAGATCCAATGCTGTCATGTTACCTATTTGCAAAAATAACAGTAATTTTGTAATTAATAACAGGGACAGGAAGATCTTTATCAAATAGCAGAACCACTATGAGAGAAGGACTTTTTGATTGTCTCATGGCGTTCATTCTAGGTATGAGTTTGGGTTCCAAACTCTAGTTTTTGCCGAAGCCTTGATGAGCAAATGGTGCAAACTTATGGCTTTTACCTTTAACCAACTGTATTCCTTTCAGAAGAAATCTTCCAAGTACCCACAACATTCCCTCCCCTGTTTCTCTGTGTTAACACTGGAAGGACAGACCTCACTCCAGAAACAATCATTTGCCTTTGAATATGGGCTGGATGGAAGGATTGTAGCTGGAGAATAAAAGCAGTTCATGTGGGACAACTGTGCAGCTACCAGCTGTCTGCATGGGGACAGAGACTTTTTGATCTTCCTCCTTCATACCAGCCCAAGTCAAGTTTGCATGAATTAACAGAAGGGGTCAGATTTGGACTTTGGGAGGTATACGCTTCTTAATGCCAACACACACCCACACACCATGGCAAGAGGAGATACATTCAGAGCTAAGGACACAGTTATTTCCACTGGTACAGTTTTGTCACAGATTCATTAAAAGGCTCAGGAAAAGAGAAGTCCGTATTCCTGACTCTGCAGCTGCGTACATTTGCTATAAACCGCTCCTGAAAAATACCCCATACGTTTACAGCAGAATGGACATGATAAGTGCTGTAGTTTCAGAGCAATGGAGTGATTTGTAAATTTAACGACACCAGGAAAAGCATGGGTAATTGTAAGTCTTGCATGGTCATTTTCTGAATCTGTGCAAAAGATGTATTTGGCAGACAGATTACAAGGCATTTTTTTGACAGTGTTCATTAACATTATAGTATAACATTATTCACAATTTAGGGAATAAATTCACCCTTCCACTAAAATTGGTAATGTTATGAAAGTAAAATGCAATTTACTCTGATAGTCATTGACTGAGTTTAACTATCTGGAAACTACTTATAAAGCCCTTAAAAAAAAAAAAAAAAAAAAAGAGAAGGAAAATTGCAAAACAGTCATCGATTTCTCTTCACTGGGCTTCATCTGGAAAGAAGCCTTCTGGTAAGTTAAGCCCAGCCTGTATTTCACGTTTAAATCTGCCTCATAGGTATTAGTTTTGTCGAAACCTAGCAAAAAGGAGGGAAAAAACACAACAGTTGGCATACAGATATATCAGCACAACCCACCATTCACTTCCACCTCTCTCAGTTATGTGCCACTGAAGACTAGAGACATTGTTTTTATTTGAATTGGTATTTTTGCAGTATTTCAGAGAGGAACACTCCCACAACTAAATCTTCTGATGCAGGAATACAAGACGTGTGGTGCTAGTATCCCACCTCTAAACTTCATTTATTTTTAGTTAGGTTATTGACTTAACAATGCATGCAGATTAAACTTAGACAGCTGAAGCTGTACTTGCCTCTGCTAACTGCATGGTCTTCTCAGATGACTTCTGATGCCACCAGAAGGGATAGCTGAACTCAAGTGAAGCAGCTCCTCGATTATACACCATACAAGATGGCACATGAACAGAACTCAAAAATAGGCCATGTTGTAGTTAATACATCAGCTGGTAAATGGTCATAGCTTTTGTACAGTGTGGCTGCACTTGCCATGAACAGCAACAGGAGAGATAGCTGCAGATGGGCAACAGCTTCAGCCATCGCCTTCTAATCCACTTGCATTCACACATCAGTACACTGAAGGATGTAGAGGCGACAAAGCATGCCAAAGAATCTTAAACTGATGATTTCCCTTCTTTGCTCAATAGCCAAATTCATTCTGCTTTTCTTTCCCACCCATCAGGAGATAAGATGCTGCCTGTCAGTGCCAGGTCTGTGCTGAGGTAGTTAACTGAGTTTTGGAACGGGCATTAGCAGGGCATATACAATCAAATCTATACATATATTATACACATACTGTACACATAGTTGTCCTGGTTTTAGCTGCAATAGAGTTAACTGTTCTTCTCAGTAGTGACACTAGTGCTGGGCTTTGGATTCAGTATGGGATTCAGTACAAGAAGAATGCTGGTAACACACTGGTATTTCCAGCTGTTGCTGAGATTTCAAGGACTTTCCACCTCCCCGTGTCCTGCCCGTGTGCAGGTGCACAAGAATCTGGGAGGGAGCACGGCCAGAGCACCGGACCCAAACTGGCCAATGAAATATTCCATATCATGTAACGTCATGCTCAGTATATAGAGGTGGGGTGGCCAGGAAGTGGGGGGGTTCTTTCTCGCTTCCAGTATTGCAGTTTCAGGATCCTGGCTTTTCCGGGACCAGTAGCTGGGCTTCTGTTGGTGGGTGGTGAGCAATCGCATTGTGCATTACCTGCTTGTACTTTCTATTATTTTATTTTATTTTATTTTATTTTATTTTATTTTATTTTATTTTATTTTATTTTATTTTATTTTATTTTATTTTATTTTATTTTATTTTAATTATTAAACTGTTTTTATCTCAATCTATGAGTCTCCCTACCTTTACCCCTTCAATTCTCTCCCCTGTCCCCCAGGTGGGATAAGGTTAGTGAGCGGCTGCATGGTGTTTGGCTGCGAGCCAGGTTTAAACCATGACAGTAGTATATGTATATATTTGATTTGATGATTTGTTTGATGATGATATAATTTCACAGTTCTAATTTTATCTTTTTATTTAAATTTTCCTTTTTCCATTCTCATTAATTTTTGTGTGAGGACATATTTATGTATTCTACTGTTTTAATTCCATATACTTATAAAAATCAATTAGTGATATTATAAGATATAAGGCCAAAAATAAAACACTGTAAGCCTAAATAGGAAACTAGATGAGGACAGAAGGTGTAAATGGGAAAAATACAGAGAAGGCTTTGAAGAGTAGCAATGGTTAACACTTGGTTGAACCCTGACTGCAATTCTACACAAGCACCCTGAGGAAAAGATCTCCAGAGAAGATCCAAGCATCTTTAAATTAAAATCTCCTGTTCCCAGCCCTATTTAAATAGGTGCTAGGTGCCCCAGGATGAAGATCAAAAATAACTCATGTGATCTTGTTCAGGACAAAAAACAGCTCCACAGATAATCTGGCTCCTAGCTGATTAATGTGTCTCACTGAAACATCACATACTGCACCCCTTCTGCCTCCTTATCCCATCTTTTTCACTTAACAGTACTGAACAAGCATGAAAGAATTATATAAGGGCCGTTCCAAACATTAAAGCCTCTTCCTTTTTGAGTTACAAGGCTGTATTTCCTGTACCAGTTAGATTTCTACGTTATCCTTCCTCCAGCCACTATATATCATCATTTATAACCTTATGAGAATAGCCACAAAGGAAAGCTTAGTTCATGAAGAATGTGTTTACTGTATGAAATGCTAATGAAACGTTTCCAGTGGATGGAAACTGTTCATTGATTTTTCAAAGTTGTGTGTGAACTAGGATAATAAATAGATATAATAGCACAAGTGTAGAGGAGCTGGAAAAACTCTCTGAGTGGACCAGCATTCCTGGACTACTTCCAGAAATGCTTCAAAATTTCTGGCTCCAAGTGCTTACGTGCCTCACTTAATTTTGGCCTATTTCTGCCTCACCCAGGGCTGGCTCCACTGAAGTAAAGGCAAAAACTGGAGGACAAAGATAGCACCATTAAAATATGTATTCTGCAAATAATGACAAAAGGCAGTTACTGGAGGTGATTATTGTTTTTCTGATGTTGTAGATTTTGGTGCCATCAAAATCTCAAGTGTTTTGCATTTGAATGAGCATATTACGTTAAATGTAATTTCTGCACATCTGATGCTAACAGCTGGCGTTTGTGTGTACCACTATCTGCTTCAGAAAGAGTTGGATCCTCATGAGAGCTGAAGTGTCACAATGCCTGCTGATGATAACTGAGGTGGCGAGAGCTCAGTATCACTCAGAACTAGACCAAAATACAACTGTTTGCTTTAAATAAAATGTGATTAAATGAGCAGAAAAATGCTAATGTGACAAAAGAGATGGTTTGTGCTTGGAAAATAGGGAGTAGTTGAGTCTGAAATGCAGAAAGTCCCCTGAGTCCACTGCTTTAAAGCCCAGCAGAGTCAGTGATTTTGGTAATATCCTGTGCTAAAAGCACAGCATTTGGTAAGGGCTGAACGTGCTTAATGAAGACTATTTTATAGTACACAGCCACAGAGTTGACACCTTCTTACAGTACCTCCTAAGCAACACATTCTTAATATTATTCCACTTACAGAAAGAACAGTTTATCTTGGAAGCTTCAAAACACTTTGCTAACATTGAACATGTAGGTGTACTGGGAGGGGTTTGCCTGGGTAGTCCTGTACACAGTCCCTGAACTGGTGAGAGGACACACGGCCTCAGGGACTCCATGCAATTCAAGCTTGTTGACTCTCTGATTTCCAGCTCCAAACTACCTTTTTCACCTAGACAAACAGCACTATGCTTATTTCATTATGTTTCCTTATAGCAAGCAGTTCTTTAAAGGCCTGATTCTGAATGATGTTGATTCCTAGTAACTTCAAATGACCTTAACAGGTGTACAAAAGAAAGTTATTGTTCGAAAATGTAAAAATAGCCCCTCAAAGAATAAAGACAACCAGTGTTAGCATATTTGTTAAAATAATTAAAGTTGCTTATCATTTATTAAGTCCTAATTATTTGAAATTTCAGATAAGGGCAAACCGCAATTCCATCAGCTTTTATACAAAAATCTGTTCCTAATATGACTTTTGCAGTGGGGGTGATTGATCAGGGAAAAACACAACATGCATTTAAAAATGGACTCAATCCTGCAACAGCCTGTTTCCTCAAAGGAAGATGTACTTCCAGAAAATAAAACTATCCACTCTGTTATTTTGTACTCGCTGGCTTGAACTTGGACAGTCAATTTCTTTTTAAACTACCTGATATTTCCTTGGCAGATGCCTCTCTGCCTCTCCTAATCTCCATGTTATCTTTTAAAATAATTTTGTAAAACTCAGCTTTTACATTAAAAAAAGTTGGGGGAAGGATAGGGAATTTTTACCAAGGCAGACCAGAATTATTATTTTAATAATTAAATATATCTGAGAAAGTATGGCCCTCAGCCTGTTCTCTGATGGTCTCATCAACGGTATAAACCACTACAAGCCCAAACAGATTACCTGCCAAGGTGATCTATAAACTAGCCTACAGCAAAAATGATTTAAGCATACAAGATAAACCAACACTCTGTCTTCACAGCACAGTAAAATCAAGCCTGAATTGTTTATTTTTGATATGATGCTAGTGTATAATGAAGATTGTTGACTCCAAATCACATTTTCATTGATATTTTGTTGTTGCAAATGTCCTTTAGGAGATGTTTTTCCAAGTAAGTAAGCAGGCTGTGAAAATGGGACTGTATAGCCAAACGCGTCTCAAAGACAGCCATATAGACTATAGAGTTCTCCTCTCCAAAAAGGAGTAGTCTGCACGGGAAGAGATAGTTGCATATAAGGTACAGCCATCCCTTAAAATCTCACTTGTAATGAACCTAGAGAGATATTTGTTTTAGTTCAGACTATTCACTGCATTAAGCTGCTAGAAAAGGGTCAACTCCTGATTTTCCACCCATTAGGTCTGTTTCAAACTAGCAAAACATATGATGCAAAAGACCTGCTCTTTTACTGTAGCAACACAATACCACTAAAGTTCCTGTCACTGATATAAACAAGATGTCTCATTCAGTGAACATAAATAATCACAAGCACAATTGTTACTCTTGCAAAGATGCCTGAAGGCAGTCTTGAAATGTGGAAAAAAAGGACCGAGGACGCTGCTTTCTGAACAAATGCCTATTGCAACGCTCAAATCTCTACATTCTGAACTCCAAAACTAAGTGAAGAAGCCGTAGGTATTTGCGGTATCCAAAAATCAGGCTGTGAGGGGTCCAGTATTACACAACAATGACCCAATCTTGCTGTCAGAGATGTAAAAAGAAATTTTGATAAGGATCTCAATGAGAGGACCACCGGGTTGTTGTGGCCTGGAAACATCCTCTAAAGAAGTTTAAAAAAACCCAAGCTAGTGCTCTTCCATGCCATAGGTTTAATAAACAAATCACTGTGGTTCATGCTTCCCATCTGCAGTGCTACAGGGATTTCAGGTGCTTTTGGAACTACAAATCAGTAGGTAACACTGACCCCCATGCATACCTTGGCAGAGGAACATGCTTTGCAAACATTTATGCAAGCCACATGCCTTCAGTATAGGTATATGCAAGTGCATAAATGAAGCAACATCTACATCTTTCATGCCCACAGCTCCTTTAGTGCAGCTCATGATTTCACATATGACCATGGTAGCCGTACAAAGCAGGCTGCACTGGAGTTTGCCTTCAGGAGAACAAGGAAATAGTGCCTGTGAAGAGACCCTCATCCTAGCAAGACAGATTTCAGAGACCTAGACTATGGCTATGCTAAAGATTCAAAATTTATACCACTCCTTTGTAGCATTTACAGGAAAGCACTAAGGGACATTGGACAGTGCTAGTCTCTTCTTTGGTCCTAGTAGTCTTTCCCTATCATACCCACTGTGCTGCTGTAAAGCTTAATCTTGTAGCCCATCATTTTAAGATTATCACCTCTTTCTCTGAATTCTTTGGTTGCTTCTGCTTTCACTGCCTTGAACATAGGCTGCTGGACTTTACTTTGGGTAACACGTGCTCAATTAAATGCGTACATATTGGTCACTTGAACCAAACAGAAATGAACTCCTTGCAAACAAGCAGGTTTGGAACACGTAAGGACTGGTGTCTCCTGGCAACAAAAGTCCCTTCCTGTAGTCTCAGTCTATGCAAATGTTTACTAAACATGACACCTTCAAATTCATCATTAAGTTAATCCCCAAATTAAATATGCAAGAACAAAATAAAGTGACTGACTGCAATAGATACAAATCTACAAGGTCATATTTATGTTTTAATTTTGGATGCTAGCTGTCTGACAGGCTGAGCAGCCAAAGAAAAAGAGGTCCTGACATTATCAAAGTTTTTAAAAATTTAATTTTTTTTTCCTAAATCAGTCATAAAAGGAATGAATAATTTATTTTGCACACAGAATTACTGAATATGGAAGGTTGTTCTAACTGTAAATTAAAAAATAATAATGGCTTCCATAAAATGTTACATGGAAAATTAATAATGAAGGAAATTGGTTTTTTAGCAGTTTCCTGCACTCAGCAGTTGCAGGTCACTCGTCTTTAACCAAACAATTTTTCTCAGATAAATTAATGTATTTTCAGAAGTGAACAGTTCTTTGCTTAAAATATTTAAAACTCCACAACAAAAATATACACTGTCGTATTTAGTTATCAAAAATGCTCTCTTATGGGCACAGGAAATGAATGAAATTCCACAGGCTCACTGCTCAGAAAGTTTTACTTACTGCCAATAGCATGCTCAAAGCTTTAATAAGAAGCTCTTTCACATACTAACTGCTATGCAATCTTTCAATTATGTGCCCTAGCCCTGCCATGAAACTCTGCAGAGGAAGAGAATTGCACTTCATTACCAAATATTCCCCAACTATTGTTACAGCCGAATTTGTACACCGTCATACTCGCTGTCCTCACCAAAGGACAGCTGACCTGACTCAAAAGACTTCACACACAGAAGAAAAGATTTTGTAATGTGCTTGTAGGAGAAGGCCATGAAGAAACTGTATGTTATCAACCACATATATGCAATCAGCTACAATCTAGTGCACTACAGCTTTCCATTAATAAGCCAGTTTTGTGTTAGCATTAATAAGTCTTGAATGAAGGTGCAGGTTAAAGGGCAGTGACTTCTGGATTAATGCAGAGCATAAATTTCATTCGTACAAGGCAATGGGAATGAAAAAGCAAAGATATCAACAGTAAAGCATTTAATTGATTAGCACTAGTAACACAGAGGGGACACGTGTAGTCACCCCTATTGAGAAGACTCACTAAATATACCATGAAAACTTAGCAACAGAGAGTTAGGTAAACTAACTTATACAACGGAAAAATAAATATTCATCCACCTCTCAAGTATGAATCAGCTCCCCTCTTCAAGGCATCATAAAAGCTCTCTCTCCACATTGTCCTTTTATTCTTAGTCATTTCTCAATCTCCTCTGTTTTTCCTAGCTTCTAAAGCTTCCAATATAGTCACACTAGATTAGCCCTAAATTATTTTCTTATTTTCATTGCAAATCCCACAGGTAAACTATCCAGTCCTCACCTACAAGGAGGAAACTTACTGTGTCTGCAAGTCTTCATGTGACAAGTATTTGTGGAAAATACTTGCTCTGACACCAGACTAACTAAGTTTGTAAAATGACTTACTGTGAAGTCACAGCCAGTGCTTTTCTTGACATCATCCACTGTCAGTCCTTCCCAGATTTCCACAAGGGTCAATCCCTTCTTCTTGTCCACATCAAACACAGCCTGTCAGGTACAAATAGCACATAATCAATTTTTTATTATCAAAGCAGAAAATGAGGATGTAAGTCATAAGATTGTACAAAACAATATGATGAAATAGGTCGCATCCCCTCAGCAACAAAAGATGCCATTATTAATTGGTTTCACTTTTCACTTTTCTGACTGACCAGTAAAGACTTCTGCTACATTTATTTGTACCTGAATGATCTAAAATATGGGATGTGTTACTTTTGTAGAAAAAAAATGCAACTGTTTTTCGTTGTATGAAATGAGGACCATGCCTCTTGCTCCAGTCTGGTGAGAATTGGGAACACCAAAGGAAAAGGATAAGATGTTCTTTGCTGCAAGACAATGCTCACCAAGAGATCATGAAGGAAAACAGAAAGATGAAATGTCTCCCTCATTCTTGTATTTCATCTTAAGGCCAGTAGAGAGGTACAGACTGGTTGATCACCTTCACCAGATTATAAGCTTCTCCAACAGTTATTGCACACCCAGTGCAAATTTTGGTATTTTCCGAAGCTAGTAATGAAAGACAAGATTTCTTTTATTTTTAATAGAAAGACTGTGAGGAAGTGGCTGAAGGAGCAAAGACTGTTCTTTCTGATGTCTTCACAAGATAGGCTTTCCACTTCCAAGGCTCACAAGCACATCAAATAAAAACACCTGTAAAACAATGTGCACTTTAATGGTGCCTACCAGAGGGAGATACACAAGTTGCAAGCTAGTTGCCAGGGAAACCATAAAGTCGATAGTAACTTTCCTTAAAAAAAAAAAAAAGTCAGTAACAAAAGACCAGTGACGATTGAACTTGAAATGAAAGTGAAGTCTTAAACTCAAAACAAGTGCACTAAAGCTCATCTGTCCTCTAGGCACATGAGACTGATTTATGGGACTGAAAAACGATAGCTCCTCTAAGTCTTAAAAGAGAAGCTGGGCATAAGGAACATACACACTAGGAAGCTAGCGTGGAAACATAATTTGCAACACTGTCTAAGTACTGTTGTACATTTGTGTCATCTCCTAATCAAGCAATCAGATCTGGCAAGTGGTGACTCTTAGAGAAATTTCTGCTTGTTTATTTTCTATCAGTCCTTGTTCACTATCATTTTTTTATACTTTACATTTGTATGTGACCAGTTAGTAGAAGATTGGGAAAACTTCCACATTTCCATTTATTTTCCATTATTTTATGGAAGAAACCCCTTTAAATTACAGTAGCAATATACCACCAGGAGAAAGCAAATTCTACATCAGCACCTTTGATGCATTCTACTTAGTATGATAGATGGCTCACAGAAGGACTACTCTAAGCCCTTAAAAACATAAACACTGATAATAAAAGGAGTATGATTATAGCAAAAACCTTAAGTCACTTATCCTTTGCTGAAAAGATCCACTAATGTACTTTGAGCACGAGCAATGTCAGATGCTCAAATGTACTTGCACTGGAGAGTAAATTGCCTCACAAATGGAATCAAGTAAGGACAAAAGAACTAAATCCCTGCTACAGCTACTGGTTGTGCTTCTCTGAAAGAGTCTGTAGTATTCACCAAGGAAGATGCCAATTGTCTGACATATACACACTACACAGTTGTTGTTCTGCTGGAAAAAATGAGCTGTGATGACAGCTGTATTTGAGGATTTGCATCCCACACAGTGAATTTTCAGGAATACTTTGGGAAAATAAGGAAATACACACTTTGCATACTTCTCATGCATGACATCTTCGTTCTGAAGGTGTCTATGAGTACAGTCCAGTATGCCAGACATCAATGGTGAAAGTTTTAAGAGGAAAAATATGAGCCCCCAGACCTCTGGGACTGAACTCCAAGGGAATCTTTGCCCTTCATTGTCAACAGGTACCAAATATATTCTTATTTTTTACTAAGCTTCATTACTTTTACTGACTGTCCATTCTTAGGGTTAGTGGAGGAAAGCATTGGCAAGGATTCAAGAAAAGTACTTTACCTTCTCTGTAATGATGCGGTTTACACATTGTTTTCCAGTAAGTGGTAAATTGCACTTTTCCAAGATTTTATGGACATTGCCCTGTGTTTAAAAATATACAGACAAATATTAATTTTCAAAACGAACACATTTTACTCAGAATTCACATACATACATAAAAGTCATAGCTGTAGCCATGCACTGTTACTGAAACATTCATTGTACTCAGAACATTCTTTGAATTAACTTCTATGGTGTAGGAGGGACCTCGTACAGAAGGGCGAGACCAGAGTGACGACCCAGCACCGATGCGATGAAAGTCGTTCTCCTTTATTTGCCCGAATAGCGCCAAGACACACAGAGCCAGACGGTCACGCGCTCTTTGCTATACAATCTGTTGGCTAAAGGCACTGATCCCGCCCCCGGGAGTGCTGTGACAGGACAGCATCGTTAGCACGTGTGTACAAACTAAATCTACTTTGTGGTTAGTGTACCCAGGCATTCAACAGGAAGGAAGCACCAGCTTGACTTCCTCATTCTTGCCCTTCCAGGTGACCTCAAGGGCAGGATTATCACGTGGCAGTTTTCTGCTCAGAGACCCAGCCTGGACTGTCCAAACCCTGTAGGATCAGTGCATGACCCTGATCCCCAAGAAATCCTACCACACTATGGCAGATTACAGCTTTGGCAATTTGGGACAGTTACTATTTAAATCCCACATACAGGGAGATGACTAATAAGAATCTCACTGTATTGAGTGGGCTCCTGAGTTTAGAAGTTCTGCATACTTCTGCTTAGTAATTTGTCTTTCCTGCTGCAATGTGAGGATAAGAGATACATGGGACCTCAGTGATGTTACATAAAAGGGTAAAAATTAGGGAAAGGCATTGCAGGCATGACATTTCTCTGTTTTATACTTTGTCACAAACAGTATGTGCAAGACACACAAGCATTTCAAATCCCCAGGGCTCAAGTACATAGTCATGCTCTGAAAATAGTAAATCCAGTTTATTTACCCACACTGAATTCCTATTCCCTCCATCTCTCCAAGAAAGCCCAGAAGCAGACTAAGAGATGAGTGCAATATGCTTATCCTGAAGTGTTACACAGAAGTTACATTATCTGTTTTAGACAGAACAAATTAGCATGCAAATATTGTAGAAAATAATGTATATACAGAAAATAAGATTTACTTGAAGGCACTTCCTTTTCTGGGGCATCAAACGCCAGCTACTCTAAATCCTAGGAAAAATATTACCTAATGAGAAGACATAGCTTCTGACCTGAAGCTGGGTAAGTAAGGTTTGGGTGGTGAGTTTTTGGAGTTTTTTCCTTCTCCTCCCCCTCCTTCCCCCCCCCACTTTTTTTTTTTTTCTTTCTTTTTTCGTTCAATTTTTTTAATAGGCATTCACTAATGGCTTTAGATCCTGTTGAATGCAAGCTGCAAGAGCTCTGAATGGATATAAAAGCGATGGATCACTACATTTTTAGTCAGTATTTGTAGGCGTTTTACAGAGGTAGCATTAAGTGCACATTTCTCCCATTATCACATGCTTTTATTTTTTATCTAATTATCAATTTTCAGTTATGCATTTCAAAACTCTCAGAGTATTACATGTCTCATTTAACCATGTGAACGCAATACTTTTAACATTTACAATCATCAGTTTGCCTTAAGGTTTAATATAAACCAGGCACCATCTTTCAGCCAGTTTGAATCCTGAGTGATAGCAAAATGAGCAATCCACGTGCTTCTGAATTTATCTTTTTCTGCAAATAATTATTTCTTCATTCTAATTTTAATTTTACTGGTAAGATCCGTATCTGGTATCAAGGCAACTACTCTGATGAAACTCACTCACTCATGTTATGAAAATAATGACTTGAGATAGCGTTACTTTCAACTGATCTACCTATACCTTGTCTATCTTGAGGACCTTCCTGCACACTTTAAGAGACAAGATTAATCTGTGCTGTTTGTACTATCTTCAGTAACATATCAGGTATACTTTTCATCCTTATGAAATGAAGTGTCTCTTCTTGGTACCCAGTTGAGACTGAAATAGATGGACTTGCAGAGGTGACAGCTTGAATGGCCCCTGTGACCCTCAGAACTGATATATTCCAGCTTCATAACACTTGAGTTGAAGATTATTGTATTACCAGTTAGCATTAAAGGCGACTTTTGGAAGACATTCATCAGGGCACTATCAGAATAGGAATCAAAATGGAACCACATGAATCTTTACCATCTGAGTTTATATGGGATTTGTTCAGATAAAGGAAAAGACTGTTGTGTAGATATGTAAAACCTTAAGGTGTTTCAGTCTGCTTTAAGTAAAAAAATTCTGTCGTTAAAGAACAAAAATGCCCTTAATCTTCCACAACACATTCAAATCAAAACTATTCACAATGATAGAAAGGACTCTTCAATTCAGTGCTCCGAGTTTCAGATACGTCCAAATCAAGTGCTTAAAACTAGTTTCCATTCTATTTTTCTGAATGGTGTAGACAACTCATTTCACAACATGGAACAATTACCAGCCATTACTCTACTATGTTTTGCAAAACATGTCAATGATGGTATAGGGGTAAGAACTTGACTTTTATTTCTCTTAGGCAGTATTTAGCAGATTAGGCAAAGATGCCCAGTGACTGTTTAGAGATTAAATAACAACCTTACACTCTATTATTTTTCTTTATGGTTACAAAAAAGTAATCTGGCAAAAAATACATTAAGAAATACTGTAACGAATTAGACTTAAGGTCCGTTTGCCAAGTGTCTCACAGAGGCTTAAGCATATGGAGCAAAAATTGAGTCACCACCCACAGATATGTCCTCCTGGTTCCTGACATGCTGTGACATATAGATTTCCTGAACTACAGACTGCTTCTGGGCAATGTTATTTAATTGTCACTGATGAACTTAACTTCATAAAACAGTTTAGTCACTTTCGTACAGACTTAATTCTTTAAGTTTCTGCATCATCCTGCCGATCATCCACAACTTCATTAGCTGGCTGTGAAAAATGGTTCTTGCTGTTTTAAACATGCTGATTGCTAATTTCAGTTTGCTACCCCTACTTCTTTTATAAGGCAGTGACTAGCCATTCTGCATCCATCTTCTCCATGCTCTTATTATTTGTGTATTTCCATGTTACCCTTCCCCAATAGTGCTTCTTCAGCTGAAGAGTTTTCTACAAATCTCATTTCATGTTCTGTCATCTTTCTTCTGTACCTTTTGGTTTTCATTACATGTAAAAATTTAAATAATAAAAAATGTAAATAATTTGAAGCAGAGTGTATTTAGTTTCATTTGTAAGGTACTGCATATCAGAGTTTAAAAAGAGGAAAATTCTTTGAGTATTTATTTGAGTGTTAAGACAGATACTAGTTTCACCCTCATAATTAAGTGTAAATTAGGTTTGGCCTGAACTGCAAAGACTCAACCTACTGCAATGATTAAAAACTGCAATGTGTACTGAAAGGGGAATGAACTTTTAAACTCCTAGAAAACTTATTTTAATGTTTAATGAGCAATTACTACTATGCTAAAAAACTTGAAAAGTATTAAAAGATTCTTCACAAGATCACAAATCAGACAAAACTGACTGCAAGAACTACCTATTACAGCAACTCTTGGATATGTCCATTGAAGGTACTGCATAAATGCCATGCCTTCCACTGTATTTCCATCCATCACATCTTGACTGCTGTTGATTTACAGGAGACTATGGCATCTAATGATAGATTTCTTATTATTTATTTGGAGAATAAGATGCCAAAAATGTCCCAATACTAAAAAGCCATCGGATACAACAGGCCATCAGATACAACAGATGGTCACAGTACGTGCAGACATTTCTTTCACTCAGTAGCACACTGGGCTTTGGGCAGGATGAAAGAGTGCTCCTCTGATGCAAAGATATAAATAAATTAAGTTTGTGAGAAGATTTTTGTTGTAAAGAATTAAAAAGCCATGTATATAAAATTAGCTCTGCAAGAAGCAGTAAACCCATTAAAAGGCTTCCAACTTCCAGAACTGGTCTCATGGGTCCTATATTTGCTTGTGTATTAAAAAAAAAAAAAAAAAAAAAGAAGAGGAGCATCTGAAAACTCTAACAGCAGCTTTTGATTTCCATACATTAGACTTCCATATTTCATCATCTTCACTTTTAAGCAAATAAGAAGTAGTAGTAGGAAGACCCCAAAAAGAGGGGTAAGAGGAAAGAGTGCCAAGAATACCCTCCATTTTGAAATACGAATAAAATGAAAAATCATGTACATAGTTTAGTTTTGCAGTGCCTTCTTAAAGAAGCAGTAGAAATAATTTATGAAAGCCTATAACTGGCTCCCTAGAAGTGCACACCAGGCATCTCATAAGAGCCCAAATTCTGTATACATATGCCAAAATATGTAAGTTCATGCCTGAACCGTTTGTAACAGTGAACCTATCCATGTTTCCATCTTTTCCAGGTTTCAGTACTCCTATTGACAAAAAAACAACATGCAAACAACTTCCAAACACTGTACTGAAAAAAGATCTTGGTAATAGTATCTTTAAGAGAAAAACTGGCATGAATAATTATACTGTGTGTGGACTCTGAGCCTTAACCAAATTCCACAGTAATAGAAATTTAGCACAAATATTTATTCAGATCACATAAACACCTGAAGTATGTGTCCGAGCAAATAGATAATTACATATCCAATTCCTGGGAAGCTGTGATAGGGATGTGAGTCATATAGATGAATTTACTTTGTACTTTTGTTTACTTATTTACATAGGTGCTTACAAAAACTATTGGGTCAGACTCAGCCTTGTTACTGAAAATGTGCCCCTTGAGATCACAGCTTAGTATAAATTGTGAAACTGCTGTATTTTTCAAAATTTGTATTTTTAAAGGGAAAATTTATTCTTCAAATCGCATGGAAAAAGCAGAAAATATATTTAGCTTTAATGTTCACATATTTACTATAGTTTACCATGCAAATTCCTTATGCTTGCAGTTATGCATTCTGACAGGTATATTCTCTTGAACAATACACAACTAATTCTTATTGCAGACATACAACAAATTTGGAATAACAGAAACACAGAAATTAAAAGTTCATTTTTAAGCATTCGGTGTAGTTCCCTGAAAATAGAGATTTTGGTCCTACAGTACATTTTTCTCATAGTTTGAACAGTCTGGATTTAGAAGTTTCAAATGACAAGCTTTCTATGACCTTCTGTGGGAGACCGTTTATAAAACTCCCTCCTCAAAGAAGTCTCTGAATTAACCTCTATCACATAATAATGTAAGGCAGCCAGCATTTCATTATGCCAAAAAGATCTATTCTACTAAGCTGTCAGTACCAGTTTGACTGGCAACTTCAAAGGTAAATATCTTTCCATCATAAGAAGTATCTAACCATGGGAAACCTAATTTTTCAAATTATTCTGAGGCGAAGAGTAAAACCTCTGGGGTAGCATTTACTGTAGCTCTGGCAATTGCCACTCTCATTAAATTTGCATGAAGTAACTAAAACATGTGTGCAGCTTTTAAACATCAAGTTAATATTTCATTTTTTTTTTCCCATGGTGAATGATTCACTTACAAGAGGAAAGGAACCATACTAACTTAGTCCCCTGCTGCACCTAATAACTAACAGCAAAACTGTCAAAGCCCCCTAAAGTAGCAGAATGAATGTAAGATGTCTTTCTACATTTTTCTTCTTTTTTTTTTGGTACAACACAAAACACTTATTTAGAAAGAAGCAGCAGAGCCTTACCTTGGCTGAGTGCTCCATGGTGACAACCACTTTGGTCTGCGCACTGGATACCAGGTCCATGGCACCCCCCATTCCTTTCACCATCTTACCCTATAATTAAATTTTTAATAGAAATGTAATATTTTTACCATTAAAAAAAAAAAAAAAAGAGAGAGAATATATTGGCTGCAATGACAGCACAAGCTATTCATCTTTTCTTACATAGAAAGCCCATCTATTTCATCACTACTGTATTCAAATGCTAACAGAATTTCACCAGAGCAAAGCAGCTGTCTGTATGATGTAAATAAGGGAATAATAATGAGTTGAATAAGGATCCACTGCCATGGCTGCTGGCCTTGCATGTAACTTAAATCTGAGTAGTATCACTAGATTAATGGAAGCCTGGACACTGAGGAGCAATTAATTTAGTTCCAATGGTTCTGACATTAGAAAAGCAGTGTTCATTCTCCTGATAGAAATGTTATTAGTTCCTCAAAAGAAACCTTTGCTTATGAAATGTAGTAACAAGAACATCTAAATGCTCTCCACCTGCCAGTTTAGAAAGCCATGATTCGCATCATTGTATTAGCACAAACCAATTTTTTTGTTCTATTCCAGATATATGTGGATGTCATTTCATAAAATGGGCAAATAAATAAATGTGGATCGGTATTCACTTCTGTTTGTCCCTCAAACCAAGCAGTAATTCCTGACTCCATGGCTCATTCTTCTCTTGAAGATTGCCAGAATTACACCTGTTATCACAGCAGCTACACTATGACTTGGTGTTCAGCTACCTCTGTTTTTACTTTCCATAATGCCACAGCATTCAACCCCTGCTTGCTTCCACCACTTTAAACTGAACACATCTCATCTTGCAAGGTAAGAGGTCCACACTTCTGATGGCAAATGACCTTAAACACAAAATTCTATCAATACGAGTAGTGCAGTCATTTTTAGACAACAAGCATTAGACCCCAAAAAACAAACAAGGCAACAACCTCACGTGCCACTCCACAGTTGCTGAGAAGGGCAGAAAGGGGAGTGGCACATCAAGACATCTGCATGAGACAGGAGGTTAGCAGGAAACATGAGGCAAAGAATTTTACAGATTAAAATAAATTAATTTCTGTCTCAAGTGTTTTGTATTTGCCGTCTTTTGACTGGTTATTATTTGCAATTAAAATAAATTATGGACAGTAATACAGTGTATGCTATTATATATATAAAACCTAAAAGTATAAGGTTAAACAACTGGAAAACTTCCTAGGATAAAGCTTTCCTATTATACTTCCTTTTATTAGCTATGCGATTCAGTACCTTACTAGTATCAGTATCTATGGTCCATGATATCAAACTCATGGAAGAGACTTGTCTCATTAAGCTGCCAGGCCAGCAACTTAGAGTTATCTCAATAATTGTGGTTTCTTGATCATAATGAAGGAATATACACACACACACACCCCTTAAAAAAAAAAAAAAAAAAAAGTATTTTCTTACTGTTTGCACAGTGAAGAATAAATCACACCTTCCGCTATAAATAGTCCCTTTAGAATTACTCAGGTCAGATTGATATTTAATATTAATTTCATTAATTGATACTAAGTATTTCTTTGCAAATACAAATCTGGAAGGGATGAGGGGATTTATCTCTGTTCTTAACTTCCTGGCACTGCTCAGATCATTCTCCATCCTATCTGGAAATACAGAGATCTTACATAGACTGCAGTGACCTCTCAAGTGCCTGACAGAAGCTCACTAGCAGGTAATACAGAGTAGCTGAAGATGATGGGTTCTCTCCCCAAAACTCAGAATATGTTTGAACTGAGGATTATGCTATCCATACTCCTGTCCTGGCAATGTCATTAGCTCATTTAGCAGGCCTTTTAGTTCTATTAACTGGTAAAGACCTACAGCAACTAGGAAGTATCTGAAGAAGTAAGTGCCAATGAAGGACAATGACAAATCTGCTGGAGAAGCTGTCATACAGGACTGAGAGAAGAGACTTTGTCCCCTTGTGTATGCAGAAGCAGGAAAACGCAAATTAAGTTGAAGAGAAGGACTTAGGGACCTTTAAATTGCTATGTCTGATGCTCCTCTTCAGGCAAACATACTCATCACTGTAGGTGGCCTGGTAAAGCAAGTCAATTAAGCATTAACTGTAACTAGCCAAGTAATTACATGCTTTTATTTTGAGGAATATCCAAAGCATAAGAGCCTTATGCATCTACCAAACTCCCACAACCTGCACTTTCCCCATCACCATACTGGCATAGGGGACATCTGCATCCTACATTTGAATTTAAATGCTTGAGACTAAAAGATGATTCCCAAAGCACATTTTGCTCCTTTTGCCTAGGATAATCACGCAGACCCAAACAGCTCTGATATTTATAAACACTGCACATTTACAAGCAACAAGCAATTTCTGTTTCTTTTAGATTTTAATAGCATATTTAATTGTACCTGACAAAAATCAGACTGTTTTATTTGAATACTTTGCATGTAATTTGAAATCTGTCATAAAAATAAACATTTTCTCTTCCTGAAGACCTCGTACAACAGCCACCTCTGTTATGAAATCTCTGAATAAAGCTAAATTGGGTTTATAGTACTGGATACTAACTGAAGTGGGAACTATACATTTCACTTCAAAAAAACGTTAATTTTTATTTATTTTTGATTGAACTAGGCAAAGAGCAGACAGTAAAACTCTTCACTCTTGGTTACCTGATAAGGCATTTAAGTTTAATGTAAGAACCAGTACAAAGTTCAATTTTTGTAAACAATTTTGAAAAAAAAAAAAAAAAAAAAAAAAGAGGTATTTCAAATAAGCAATGACTGAAGTATATTTGCAGGTTTCCTGCTCCTTCTTACAGTGTTGGTAAGGTCCAGGGTTTGCATGCCCTCCCCCCATTTCTTTATTTAATATGATTTTTGTTAGTTCCCAGTTACATTGGTGCTGCTTGCTTAGCAAACCAGAAGGAAAGACTTAGTTCAGTGGTAGTGCGCTAGTCATTTGAAGCACTATTATAAAGCCCATTTCATCAGCAAGTGCTTGAAGTGAGAAGAAAAAATTTCTGAATTAGCCATGTGCTTCCTCGGAGGCCCAATGCTGGTGATATTTATATAGAGGGTTAGGCAGAAGACAGAAACAAGCTGACTGTTTTCTTGTAGCTTTGCAGTTACCATAAAAAGTCCATATTGCAAGGAGGAATTCTGCTTTTTACATTGTGCTTCATCAGCAGTTCTTGCTAAGTCTCAGTCCAAAAAATCTTAGGATACAAGAGGCAGAAATTCATGGACCTGATGGATTTTTAATTTTTTTTTTTATAATTAAGATATTCAGCTCTTCTGCTTCTTCACAGACATAAAACCATAAAAAATTAGTGGAATTTCTTATATTGCCTATTTATTGCAAAATAAATTATTTTGTTATGGTGGTGATGGGGCATTTTTAAGAAAATAAGAAAGAAGGGTATATATTTTCTCATCTGATGCCTTCCTATCTGAACATCATTTGAGTGGTCAAAATACAATATTAAAGAGCCTGAGAAAGTAATTTAGCCTAATCGTAATTCCTAAAAAGAAACATTCCTGTTGGTTTGGTCACTTGTAGCATCCAAGACAATCTGTGGCATTCCAGCAGAAGCTTGTGAGTACTCTAAGGTGGGCAAGACAGTCAAGACACTTTTCATGAGAATGTGAAGTTATTCCACAATGGTAATGAAAACTAGAAAGATGCTATAGCAAGCAAGAAACAATTTATAAGAAACTCCAAACAGACTAGAAAGAGGTGGTTGAGAGAAAAGAATTAAATTCACAAGACTTCAAACACCATTAAAGTCTTGATTCCATGCTGATGTCTTACACCCTTCCTCTTGATTCTCAGGGGGAATGACTTTTCTTCCATAACTGAATTTTACAGCTACTTCCAACATCATAGGATAAAATGCATCTGAACTGATCTGGTTATGCAAAAAAGAAAATAATCTTTTGAGACAAACACATATCACATCAACAGTACAGCAAAGCAGATGCTAATGCTGTGTTCAAGAAACCATGAAAACTTACCAGTGGTAAATGCAGAGTTTGAAAGATTAGAATGAGGATGAAAAGAAAAGCTTGAATAATTCAATTTAAAATTGAACATCAAAGGACAGCCAAGGTGAAAGTATATACTTGTTTGAAAAGGAACCGAGCTACTTCCCTGTTAAGAGTCCTTGCCCATGTTGCTAACTGTCCTAATGCTTGTATTAAATAAACAGCATTCAGTCCGAAATTTCTCTTTCCTTCCATTAATAAAAGCATACATATGCCTCACATTATGCTCAAAGTTAGTAAAACTACTATTTCAAAAACCCCTACAGAAGATAATGAATGCTTCTAGTTTAAACCACAGTCCTTGCGCAGGCTTCCCATTCAATCTGAATTTTCGGGCATCCCCCTGGAACACCTTCAACAAGCTACTGACAGACAGTAAAAATATAAAGAATGTCAATATGATCTCTGATGGCCACAGACACAGACTAGGTGGCAGGTACAGAATCCATCACCAGTCTCAGCTTCCCTATGAAAAGAGGTAATTTTATTGTGTCAGGAACAACTACTAAAATTCAGAGAGACTGGAACAGTATTAACTCCACAGAGAAAAGCAGAAATGAAGGTAATGCAGTGGATACAAGGTACTTCTATCACCACCACCAATGGTGCTAACACTGCACTAAAAAAGATAAATTTAGGACCCCTTCAAAGTTTTCTGCTCTGCCCCTCTCTGCAGTGGTATGTACGCACTACTAACACACATTAGTCACACGGGTCTCCTTCTCCATACAGGTACTGTCTGTCTTCACAAATGTGCCAACTTCAAATGGCATTCACAGTACAAGTAAGGAGGTCATGAGGGCCACATATAACTATTTGACAAAAATATCTCATCAACTGTGGTAGGGTTAGATGTGGTTGGTTTGGGGTTTTTGGTTTGTTTGAGGGGGGTGCAAGCTAACACAGATCTTAGCACTGTACAAAAAAAGATCCCAATCAGAAGGTAATATTAAAAAATACATATGCATAAATCTATTCTAGTTACATAAAACTGTGGATGACAA